GAGCTCCTGGTTTCTTGTCAGCTGGGTGGGAGGGGGGTCCTTCTCTCCTCCCTTCCAGGCAGTCCCTGGGGATGGCTCTAGTTCTGGTTCCAGCTCTAGGCATATGGAGCTCCCACAGGGGCCATTCCCGCCTCCCAGCTTCTCCAGAGCCTCTGACCCATAGGGATATAGGGGGGATATAGGAGTATCTCCCCCCCAAGTGGAGGTTGGTTCTGGACATGTGGGGACCTTGATCCTGTCTAGGCACTGGCCATCCTGAGAGGCCCCAGGTAGCCCACCCAGCATTGCCAGACCAGCACGTTATTCTCTCTCACATACACACGCACACGCACATACGCACGCAGAGTGTACCCTAGAGTTCATGGCCTGCTACCCCCACTCTCCCACCCGGCAACTCAGAGGACTCAAGAAGGAGCCTACCCCAGAGACATGTGCCCTACCCTGCACTGGTGGCAGGCTCCAAGAGTACCTCCAGCACCCAACCAGTAGCTAGAGGTGACATCCTTCAGTACCCTCCCAGTCTGCTCTGTGCCCCCTATTCCCTCTCCAAGAACAGTCCAAATCCCACAGTCCCACAACAGATGGGGAAACTGAGGAAGGGATGGGAGGGCACAGTTATTCCTCCTGAGACCCTGGCGTGGAATCACAGAGAAAGAAAGGGACGCTGACCTACCAAGAGCAAAGTCCATATTGGCTGCTCCCTCCGCACAGCCCGACCGCTGGGCCAGGGCCAGAGGCTGGCTCCCTCCCTCTAGAGCTCTCCTTGCCCCCGGCTGGGCCCCCTCCCTCTCTGAGCTTCTGAGCAGTCCTCCCTGCCCTCTCCCTCCCAGCCCTGGCTCTCTCATCCTCAGCTCTTGGAAGCCTGACTCACTGTTTCCCCTCCTCTCCCCACTCCCTCCCTCTCTCTCCCGCCAGCGGCGCCTCCCCCTCCCCTGGGTTGGGGGGGGGCTCTGGCCACAAGGGTGCCTGCCTGCTCCTCTCTCTGGGGCTCTGGCCCCCCTCTGCACCCAGAAGGCCCCCTGCAGCTGTCCTTATTCTCTAACTACAGACTGCTAGAGTGCAAGGAACCTGGGTCCCAGGCCTGGCATGGCCAAGTATCTGTGACCCGGGGCAAATGGCTCCCTTCTCTAGACTTGGTTTACTTCTGTCAAACGATGGGTGAGGGGGTCCAACTGGATGATGCCCCTGGCATCTCTTGGACCCTAACGTTCCCCGCCTTTAAAATCCCAGGTGCCCCTTGGCATGGAGCACAAGCAACCTGTGGGGCACTGTTCCTGCCTCAGGCCCTGGCCCCAAGTCCGGAGGAGACTCTGCTCTGTTCCCAGACATCTGGAGAAGGCAGAGGGAGACGCTGCCCTGGGGCAGGACCATTAGTCAAGTGACCCCCGGCACACCCCTGTCTCCCCATTCTCCCTCCTCCTGTGGGAGTCTTTCCCTCTCTATTCCACCTGTCCTCCTCCCTCTTGCCAGAGACATTTCCTTGTCCCTCCTCCAAAAACAATGCCTGCTCATTCCCGGCTGTGCGGTAGGGAATGGCACATGCCTAGGCCTTCTTGGTCCCCTGGGCCCCACCTCCAGGGGCTGTGATCCTGGCTCTTCCCCTTGACTGTTTGCTTTCTCACTCCCTCATCCCTGGCTTCTGCCACCATCTTTCCCTCTCTCCACCTGGCACGTGGCTGTCTGGGTCTCTCTCCCCTTGCCTCGCCTTGCCTCGCCTTGCCTCGCCTTGCCTTGCCTCGCCTCGCCTCGCCTCAGTCCCCTAGCTCTCTCCCTGGGGGGGCCCATCTGCTGGCATTAGCAACAATGTTATCCTCGCTCCCTCCTGCATTCCCCATCCCGGCTTCCCCTCTCTTCCGAGCTGTCCCAAGAGACCCAGGGGACCCAGAGACAGAGCTGGGCTCCATCCCATAATAGTGAGTCTGCTTGACCTCACTCAGCCAGACCAGAAGTGTCTGGGCATCTGGTATGAAGGCATGGCACGGCACCCCCTGGTCGTGGGTGACTGGCATGAGACACAGAGCTCTGTATTCCACAAACAAACAAACAAAAAAAGTTGGCCTTGGGGTGGGACATAGGGGGTTTGAAGGGAAATGAGGGAGATCAGGTTAGCCTGGAGAAAGCCCCTAGCCAATGGGAAACAGAAGCAAGTAGAGGGAGTGGCTCAAAGTCAATGCTCCAGACTGATCTGAGAACCAGCAATGCCCCTCTAGGGTTCTGCCTGTCCAGAGCAGCAGCCCCCCCCCCCCCCCCCCCCAGTTTCCAGCCAGGGACACTTGGCCCCTCAAGCCTGGAGCATAGCCGCAACCTCAGGTGGAGATCCCATCCCTTAATCTCCAGTAGGGTCCAAGTCCAACCTCCCAACAGTATACCTCCACTTAGCTCAACAGGGGGTCCAGCAGCTTCCCTGCCAAGACCTAAGCAGGTGGAATGGGGTTAACAGAGCCCCCCAGCTCTCAAGCCCCCTCACCAAAGTCCCGGTCAAGGTCTGGGAAGCAACGTGAAATAACCCTGGAACGCGCATACCCCCAAACTGAGAAGCTACGCTGTCCATCCACAGCATCTGGGGGTGCTGGGGCTCCCTGCCCCCCGACCCTGTTCCAGACCCCCCAGCCCAGCAACCGCAATAAACAGCAAGCTCTTTTTCTTTATGACACCAAATTTCTCCAAGCCCAACAGCTCCTTCCATCACTACCTCAGCCATAGATCACATTAAAAACTCACAGAGGGCAACTTAAACACATCACATTTGTTTCTCTCTATATTATTTCAAAAGTAACGGCATTAAAAATGGATTTTACTACAGAAAATAAATATCAGCACGTGGGCCGGGAGCCCAGGCAGGAGGAGGGAGCCCACCAGGAGAACGTCCCCGAGGGCTTGGGCACAGCTTAGGAACTGACCAAGGAGGTGGCTGAGGCCAGACAATCCCCCGGGGCCTAGGGGGGATGTGTGGGGAGGGGATAATACCTGCCCACCCAGGCACCTGCCCCAGTGCCAGACCAAGAGGGACAAGAGTCACTGGTCTGGACTGGTGCCCACTGGTCCCCCTAAGCTCAGACCCTCACTGATCTGTGCAACCTCTGAAGGGAGGGAGCTCTGGGGCAAGAAGTTCACCAGTCTCTGGGGGTTATTCCAACTATTGACACAGCAGGAGAAAAAAAATGAATTCAACTTACTATCCAGTTTGATTTTCCATTGCTATAAAAATAAATATACATCTGCTCCAAGGAGGGAGATGGCAAACGGCATGCACATGCCACCTGGGGGGTCCCCCCACAGCTCACCACCACAACCCAGCCTGCCCCCCCTCCAAGCCAGGGCACACACACACACGCGCACACACACACACACACGGGGCCACACGGAACAGGAACAAGCCAACAATAGAAACACCCCAAATACTCCTGGCAGGACTCTGCCCAGGCCTGGGCACATGCCCCCGCCCCGCCAGCAGCAGCAGCGGACAAAATGTGGCCACCCTGACCCGGAGGCAAAGCTTGTCCTCACACCCTGAGCTCTGCCCAGGGAGCTGGGGCCAAGTCCCGCCTGACACCAACTGGTCCGGCGGGAAACGCCTGCCCAGCCAGACAGGCACAGGCCCCCCAAGGGTCCCTCCTTGTGCTCAGGGACCAGGCTGGTGCAGCCTGGCCCTGCCTCCCAGGGTGACGCCTGGGCCCAAATTCAGCTGGCCCTGCCAGTCAGGCACTGGTGCAGAACCGAGGGCACCAGGCTCAGCCCCTCCCAGCCCGGCCCCAGGGCCCCCAAGCTAGGAGGGAGGGGGGACTCCCCACCCCTCCACATCTGGCCCTGGCCCCCAGGGTCTGCGGTAGAGAATTCCCGCCCCCGCTTCTCTCTCTCTCCCTCCTCCCGCTCTGTGCCCGCTGCCCGCCTCAGGGACAGCCCCAGCTCCCGCCTCCGGCCAGCAAGGCCCACATCCTTCCTCCCTCAGCTGGCCCCTTCGCCTGGCAGGAGGCTGGGGGGGGTCAGGCTGCTAGGGAACCCCTCCAGCTCCCATTAGTCCTCATCCCCAGCCCCCAAACTCTGGGTCGCTGTCCCTTTTCCTGTAGAACAGGAAACAAGGTTATTTCCTAGACTCAGAGCCAGCCCCCTGCCCCTCTGGCTCTGCCCGGGGACCAGGACCCAGCAGGAGAAGGCGCCCTTAGCCAAAAGGCACAGGGATTCAGCAATTCACCCCCAGCTCCCGGCCCAGGGGGCTGACAGCTGTCACTCAGCACCCCACCCCCTGGGGAAGAGGGGACCCGATTCAATCAGAGCCCCAGAGGAAACGCATTGATAGGCGATTATTTATTTATTTATGCAAAAGTGAGCCGACTTTGTTCGCCAGGTAACCGGGCACGCGGCCCAACCCCTCCGGCCCTGGCCACCCCCAAATCCCTCCTCCGCCCCACACCCCCTCCGGGTCATTAGGTCCCCGCCCCTCAACTCCCAGAGCACCAGCGGAACCTTGGGATTTGGGGGTTGGAGGGGAGGGGCTCCTCCCTCCGCAGTCTCCCCCTTTCCCAGCGCCGTTCCTAAAATCCAGCCTTGTTCTCCGCTCCCACGGTCCCCCCTTCGTTCTCCCCCCCCCACATTCTCAGCAAGCTGGAGAGCAAATTGCAGTTTTAAATCCAAAGACCGAGGGAGGAGGAAGGAGGAGGGGGCGCGCGGCAGCGCTGGGCGCGCACCTCGCCCCCGAGCCGGGGGAGCTGCGGGGCGGCCAGGAAACCCGAGAACCCCCCCTCCCCGCCCCCCCTTCTCGTCCACCTCCCCCTCCCCCTTCCCGGCGCTGCCTGCCAGGCTTCGAGCCGAGCCCAGCCGAGCCGCGGGCCCCGGTGGAAACAAAGACCGATCGCACCGCGGGCACCGCAGCCACCGGGTCCCGCGGACCGGACCGGGGCGCGCGGAGGGGGCGCGGGCCCCCCCCCCCGGTGCGCTGCACAAAAGAGCCCGGCCGGCCGGTCCCCAGCGGGGTCTAGGGCTCGGGAGGAGGCGCCACTCACCGGAGTGCTGGGCTGCCGGCTCCGTGGGTCCGAGCCAGGCGAGGGGCTTTGGGGGGCGTCAGTCTTCCGGCGGCGGCAGCGACGCGGGCGCCCGGCTGCTGGGGAGAGGAGTCGTGGAGGAGCCCTGAGCCGCCCGCCGTTGCTGACAGCATGGCTCGCGTCTCGGCTCACATTCTCCGCCGCTAACTCCGCTGGACACGGCCCCCCGCTCCCGCGGCGCCCCCCCCACCTTGATCACTCCTTCGCTCTCTGCGCCCCCCTCGCTCCCCCCGCCGCGCACACACTCTCACAGCCCTGGACACCCCCGCCCCCACCCCCCCATTGCAAACCTGGGAGGGAACGCGCCCCGCGTAGTCCTCCTCCTGCTCCTCCTCCTCCGCCCTCCTCCCTCCCGCTCTCCGGCTGTCTGTCTGTCTCTCTGACTGTCTCTCTGACTGTCTCTATCTCTCGCTCTCTCTGCCTTTCTCTGCTTTCCGAGCTGGGTGGGAAAAGGAAATGAGGACAGAAAGCAGACGCTGGCTTTGGGTGGTGGTAGCTGGATTCCCTCTCTCCCTCCCTCCTCCTCCCCTCCCTCCTCCTGCCTTCTGCTCTCTCCGCTGCGAGCGGGGCTGAGCGCAGCCTGGCGGGTGGCTCGCTCTGCCCGCCCGCCCGCCCGCCTGTCTGTCTGTCTGGTCTGCCTCGCTCGCTCCCTCCCTCCGTCTCTCGCCCTCGCCCTGCCTGCCTGCCTCTCTCCGTCTCCGCCGCCGCCGCCGCTGCCTCTGCGAGCTCGCCTTACCTTCGCCGCTCACCATCCGGAACCCCAGGGGGGAGCGCGCGCGCGGCACGCCGGGACTTGTAGTCCCCACCCCGGCCGCTCGGCGTGCGGGGCGGGCGGGGCCGAGCCGGCTGCCCCGACGGCGCGGCCGGGAGCCCGCGGGGACTGCGCGCGGGCCCCTCGTGGGGGAGGGGGGCGCGTCCTCCGTTTACCGAGGGTGCCGGTGCTCCCAAAGGACTAGGGATGTTTCTCTCGTTCCTTGTTCCCTGCGGGGGGCTCTGGCTTGAGCGGAGGTTGCGGGTGGGAGCGAAGGGGCGGGGTCTGAGAATGGAATGAGTCGAATAGGGAATCAAGGGATTAGCCAAAGGGCCTGCGACTTTCTGGGGCGCCCCAATTAAAGGATAGATGAAGAAGAGAGAGGGGAAGACCGGCTTTCTGAGTCTGGGGACGTTCTCCCTTTCTGAAAAGGTTTCTTATCGAGTAAAGCACGACGTTTTTGACGCGAGGGTTGCTCCAGAAACCTCAAAGCCCCACCACCGCTTCCTCCTCATTCAGGGACCCCCGTCCCAAGCTCTGACCACTGGGTTTAGCCCCTGCAACTCCTAGTTTTCCTAGAAGTCCAAGGGTGGCCAGGACACAGAAGTCCTGGATAATCCACAAATAGCACCCCTCCCCCTTCCTGAATTCGACTGAGCATTTTGGTTGTGTCAGGAAGCAAGATTCAACAGTTCAGAGTTCCTGCTGCGGCCAAGGGGCTGGGCTCAGCACTTTCACCTACCTCCTCTTCAGGTCACATCTGTTATCCAGCCCCTAGCTCCAGGCCCCCTGCCTGGCCTATCCCCACAGATGGGAATGTGCCCTGCCTGGGCCTGGTTACCAAGGGGGAAGTAGCTGGACAGCCCACTGGTCCTACCCCACTGCCTAACCAACGCCCACTGCCTAACCTCTGGGCCATGGCAGGAGGTTGTGACTCCCAGGTCTCTGTCTGACCTTCACTCCCAGCATCTGTGTGTCCTCCCTTGGTACTTTAATTCAACAGATGTTAACTGAGATATGTAGAGCTCACAGGGGACACTGAGAAGAATAATGCAGGATCACTGTCCTGTCCTCAGTAGCTACCAACATCAGCCCTGACTGGTACTCTGCTAGTCTCCCATTTCATCTGTGTGTCTGACATTCCTTAGCCATGTTTCTGCTGACTTTGTCGGTCTTGCCCCATGTCTGAAGCTCCTTCGCAAGTGCCTTTGTTCTTGGGCCACCTGTTTCTGACTCCTCCTTCGGCCCTGCAGGGTGATGGCCAGAGTGTGACAAAGGCAGGTGGTGACATTTCTCCAACTACAACTCCCTGTCACCACCTTCCCTACACCTCTCCCCCTCCCAAGCGCCTGCTTTAGGACAGTCTGAAACCCCCAAAGGGCAAAAGAAGAGGGTTCTGGGGGGCACCCTCTATTGGCCCTTTGATGGGGGCAAGGCTAGGAGGGCAGCAGCAATGAGAGAGAGTGAGGGTTCTAAACAGTCTAAACAGTACACCTATTTATCTGGCATCAAGGGGCTGGCACGGCCAGCTGGAGAGACCCCCATTTGGGAGCAGCTTCTCTTTGCAGGGTTCAAAAATTTATTCATTGAATGGGAAGTATTCTAAGGTCAGATATTAATGAAAGCAGCGATTTAAGTTGTTAGGGGCCTTTTTGGGTCCGAAGCCTGAGTCTAAAGTTATCGCAAATACATGAGGCTTTGGCATCTTGATCTAGCTGGTACCCCATGGGAGAGACTTTAGCATTGGGAGGGTGGAAGAGGCTCAGGTTCCCCTTTATTTTACCTAGGCTGAATCAAGTTTTGGGAGAAAGTTGGGTGTTTTAGGGGAGATGGGAAGCCCCAGGTAGATTGAGACGAAGAGCAATTTGGGAAAGGCATGAGAGGGGAGAGCTTTAGTGATGAGGTGCAGAGGGTAAGATCAGCTGGCTGGGCCATGGCTCCTTGAGTGAGAGAGTAATAGACGTTAGGTTGTGTTTTCCAAGCACGCACCTTCCATCCAGGCTGTTTCAGCTGCCCCCTTCCCAGAGAGGGTGGGTATTATTAGCCCCTAAGGTATTGAGCATCGCTGGAAACCAAGCATGACCAAGTTTTCCAGTCGTTTGGAGGCTGGTCTTTCTCTTGGAGCTTCTCTAAATTACGTTGGGCGGGGCGGGGGTCTTCCCAGACGAACGCAAGCTGATTCTTCCCGTGGGCTGCTACCGCCACCTAGTGTCAACTCTCCATGTCTGCGCCAGTAGGGGGCTACCCAGTCCTCAGAAACAGTGTCAGGGTCACCACAGGCTGGGCAGGGGAGCTGTACGCTCCCCCAGAAGGCAGGCCTGAAGGAGAGGACCCAGGTTCTGGGAGAGCCTGCATCATCCTTTCTGGGCTCAGCTCACTCTAGCCACTTTTGTTTCAATGCAGCAGACGAGGGTGTATACCTAGACCCTAGGAAGTAGAGGTGAGAGTCTAGGCATAAAATTGTGGGACTATAGGGTTTGGAGGCCCTGTGGAATAGGAGCCAGACAGGCCCAGTTCCGATTGTGCATCAACTCTCGTATCCTTCACCTCTCCAAGTCTCAGTTCCCATATGTGTAAAATAGAGGAGTAATTCCCTCCTTGTTTTACAGGCAGGGCCGTGGAGATTTACTGAGCACAAGGATATGAAAGCACTTTGAAAACTGGCAAGGGCAAGTTGAGGGATTGAGTCGTGATAATAATAATGACAATAACTGGGGTGCCTGGGTGGCTCAGTAGTTAAGCGTCTGCCTTCGGCTCAGGTCATGGTCCCAGGGTCCTGGGATCGAGCCCTGCATCGGGCTCCCTGCTCTGCGGGAAGCCTGCTTCTCCCTCTCCCACTCCCCCTGCTTGTGTTCCCTCTTTCGCTGTGTGTGTCTCTCTCTGTCAAATAAATAAATAAAATCTTTAAAAAAAAATAATGACAATAACTGAGAGGTCAGAGCAGCTTGGAACCAGGCCCTTGGGGCTCACGGAAAGGGCAGAGTGAAATGAGCCTTGGGTGGGCATGGGCACTGCCTTCCCCGAATACAGAAGTTCTAGGGTTAGCCCCACTCTTGGAGTTCACCTCAGGGGAGGTGTGGTTTGCTTGAGAGTGGTTCAGCCCAGCGCACAGAAGGAGAAACTGAGGCTGAGAGAGGTTGAGGGACTCTTCTAAGCCTCTGAGCTACAGATCCAGGATCAAGAGACCCATTGGACTGGAGCCATTATGGCCTTGGTCTTCCCCTCCTCAGGATGGGAACAGCTCAGAGCTGGGGCCCAGGAGACCGTGGAAGCAGGAAGCCCCTCCTCATTGTGGTACAGTGGGATCTAAGGCCCCTAGGCCCCCATTATCCCTCCTCCTGGGCTAGCCCCTCCTCCTCGCAAGTCCTCCCACATTCCTCCAGGCAACAGGAAACCCCAGCTGCAGCCCAGACTTCAAACAGCTCCTCCCTCTGGGCAGGGGGTGTGGGAGGAGAGGCCAGAGGCCAGAGGGCAAAGGTCAGCTTTGTTCCTGTTGGAGGTGGTGAAGGACGGGGTGGGAGGGGGGATGGGGACACAGAAGGGGGCAGGGTAGGGCCCTTGACAGCCACACAGTGTATGTGTGAGTGTGTGAGTGTGAGTGAGTGCCTGTGCGTGTGCGTGTTGTGTGTGTGTGTGAGAATTCCTAGGTCTGTCAGGGTATGGTATGTGTGGTTCTCACTGTCAGCCTGTGTCTGGAGGTAATTGTATGTCCTTGGTTTCCCTTGGGCTCCTGCATCTGTGTGTGTATCAGTATGGATTTGTTGGTCTGTGGGTGCTCAGCCTGGGATCCCACTGATATGTCTGTAGGTGACATCACATGTGTCGATATGTATGGTTCACAGACCTGCTCAAAGCTATGTACCCTCCTATTAGTGTGACCTGGTGTGGTTCTTTGCATCAAGAGGGGTATCCCTGTCCTGCCTCTTCCCCTTTCCATCCTAGCTCTGCCTTGGTCACCAGAGGGTTCCTTCTGAAAAGTGAATCTGACTTTGTTACTCCCCTGCTCAAAATCCTGTGGCTTCCCATTGTCCAGGGCTTAGAATACTAGCCCAAATGCTTGGCAGACATGACCCATGCCTACCTGGTTATCTTCATCTTTAGCCACAAACGCCCCTCAAATTTTACACTCCAGTCACGCCTACCTCATTATAACTCCTTGCACGTCCCATTTCCTGCCTCTGAGCTCACTTAATTCTGTCAAGTCTAGAATGTCCTTCTCTTTCTTCTCTATCAAGCAAACTTTTACTCCCTTTGCAAGTCTCTGGTGAAGCAACACCTCCACTGAGAAGCCTTCCAGACTTCCCCGTCCAACTGAGTTAGGACCCGACCCTGTTCTCCCACACACCCTTTATCGTCATTTTCAGCCTGTGCCTGTCCTATTCACCTCACTACCATTAAATTGTGAGCTCTCTGAGAGCAGGAACTGTGCCTTGTCTCCCATCCTGTGGTGGGAAGTTCCTAAAGGGATCTAGTC